CCCCACCCCCCACACACACACACACACACACTCCCCATATTTGTAGTAGTCCAGTTAAACTATTGCTTTTAATCTTATTTTACTATTCAAAGATTAAACTAAAAACTTAAGTAAAATCCATTAATAATTTTTGAACTACAGAAGATATTTGATAAGTATATAGCTATCACCTCTTTACTTTTTCTCTGATGAGCTGCGAACAGCCTACATGATATCCTAAAAATTTGATTTGAAAATAGGCCTTGGATTACTTACATTGAAACATATTTTGATGAAATTGTTGTTGTTTGACAGGGCGCTGCAGCCTCCAGGCTGGTCTAAGGACTGGCATTGTGGGGTGAGAGTTATCAAGAACGACAAGCTCTGTGGGTTCATCAGTGCCGTCCCGGCAAACATCAAGATGTATGATAAGTAAGTAAAATTACAGACAGGAGGTGCCATTGATTGGCAACGAAATATTGGCATCAAATTCAGGACGATTAGTATACCAAAAGGAATGATACAAACCTTTTTAGGAATTTTCAGCCCACCATCATCTGATAGTGGGTATTCAAATCACCCTGCGTCCGTCGTCCGCCCGTAAACAATTCTTGTTATCGGTATTTCTCAAGAAGTACCAGAGGGATCTTTCTCAAATTTTATATGCAGGTTCCCCTTGGTCCTTAGCTGTGCAGGGCAACTTTTGAGACTGATTGGATAAACAACATGGCCCACAGGCAGCCATCTTGGATTTTGATAGTGAAAGTTTGTTATCGCCATTTCTCAAGAAGCACGAGAGGGATGTTTCTCAAATTTTATATGTAGGTTTTTCTTGGTCCTTAGCTGTGCAGGGCAATTTTTGAGACTGATCGAATAAACAACATGGCTGACAGGCAGCCATCTTGGATTTTGATAGTGAAAGTTTCTTAACGCTATTTCTCAAGAAGTACCAGAGGGATCTTTCTCAAATTTTATATGTAGGTTCCCCTTGGTCCTGAGCTGTGCAGGGCAACTTTTGAGACTGATCGGATAAACAACATGGCCGACAGGCAGCCATCTTGGATTTTGATA